TCTTCATGTTCATGCTTCTTATTATATTCTTTTGATCTCACCGTTGAAGCTTGATCTCTTTTAATTATTTACAATGTCTTCTTTTCAGTTCATAAATCTGAATGACATAAGTTAAAAATTATTTAATCATCAAAACCATTTAATAATAGTGGATTAAAATCAAGGGTTTAATTCTAACATGCATGATGGAGATAAAATAAAAAAATAAAAGGAAGGGGGAGAAAAATAATATGAGCACGTGACTTGCAACAAGCTTTGTGTCCATGGTAAACTCATGATGTAAATTTGAATTATGAAGGAGAGTTGTAAACTCGCTGCAACTCAGTCCTTCTAGTTTTGACTCGGTTGTAACTCAATCCTTGAAATTTGACTTGCTACAACTCGGTCCCTATAGTTTTAACCATTTAAATATAGTCCCTCCTTTTATTAGATATATAATTTTATTTTTCAAAAACACAAAGACTAAATTATAAAATAGACAAAACTATAGAGACCGAATTGTAGCGAGTCAAATTTCAAGGACTGAGTTACAACCGAATCAAAACTAGAAAGACTGAGTTGCACCGTGTCAAAGTCTAGAGACTGAGTTACAAATGAGTGAAAACTATAAGGACCAAAAGATTAATTTTCCCTAAAATATTTTATAATCTTGGGCAAAATTAGCAAGTCTTATTCTTGAAACTCTTTTTATTCCTTTTCTCTTTTTTGGGCCAAGGGGAAACTCGTTTTACTCATTCCAAACGTCAGCCAATCCAACTGAATTCAGTCATATCAAGTTATCAACATCATCTTAAAATCATGCCGCCCAACAAAATAAAACGTTCTTTGTAACAAAAAAAAAAGTTCTGAACTTTCAGACCCCATAATTTTGTGGCAAATAAACAAAAGAACCACATATTTCTGGGAGAATATAATTGCTGGAAAAAAAAATCCTCATCCCAAATTTTGTTATCCAACAATATTCAAAGACGTAGATCACTGAGTGGGTATGATTATTCTTTTATTATGTACATCTTGCCTTTAATTATATGTGAATGTCTTCTGTTTTATGGATGACTGAAGATGAAGATATACTCCTCTAGTCCCATTTTCAAACCATTCCTAATAAGTTTTACAGAGGTCAAGAAAAGTCTTAAATTTCATTGACTCTCATTTAAAATTCAACAAATTTTCAACTTTATTCCTATTTAATATACAGTATACCTAATGTAAATAAAATCAACACAATAATAAATGAAGGATAAAATTGTATATCCATACAAAAAATTTTTTTCCATGCCCTATAAATAGAAATGTAAGTAAAAAAAGTCTTATTTTTTACTCTATAAATAAAATCAGAGAACTAGGTTACAAATAATTTGAAAAACGTGTTACATACCCGTCAAAAAGATAAGTGATACCTGAATCCTTCAACAAATTTTAGATATATCGTGTAATAAATTTTATAATAGGAGATTTTTCAGGCATTTGTCCAATGTCATTGCATCCTAGTATCATATTCATTGTGCTAGGACGATGAAAAGTGATACTAAGATTATAACCACAATTTCATCCCCAGATTGGACCCGGCACGTACAGTTCTTATTTATTATGTACGACGTTTGGACATCGGAGGTCCCAAAATTCAATGGAGCCAATAAATTATAAGCTTCCAACTAAAGGGTTGTTGTATCCACTTTTTCCTCCATGAATCACTACAAACTTCTGATTGAATCAATTAATTAAAAATCGTTTTCAGAAAAGTATCAAATGATTAAATAACTTTCCGCATTTAGCACAAAAACCGGGACAGTTTTTTGTGAGAAAGAGAAATTGATAGTTTTTGATAGTTTTTACTGAAAATAATTCTGAAATATCCGAATGCACTCTGGCAACTTAATGTTCTCATATAAATTTTCATTTGAAGATATACAGCATGGAAGTTTACTTTCAATATGTTTTATACAGATCAAGAACAATATTAAAAATATATTAATTCTGCATTAAAATTCAATAATTTTCTGACTTATTTCTATATAATATACATTATACTAATAAAAATAAAATTAACACAATAATAAATGAAAGGTTAAAATTATAAATTTATATGAAAATTTCTTTTTCCCCCTTATAAATAAGACTAAAAAAATTTATTTTCTCTCTATCATATAAATAAGTGCACAAGAGTATGACTTAAATCTCCTACAAGTTTTGTTTCCCAAAGTTGAGCCATCACGGTTATTGCTTCTCATTTTGGAGTGATTAATAACAATAACTGTTTTTTCCCCCAAGGCCTTCGAGTAGAATCACTTTCATATAACTTGGGAGGTGAAGAACGTACAAGAAATCCATTTTTCTGAAATTGGAATTGGACGTCACATATGAATAACAAAATACTCCTCCGGTCTCAAATGTAAGACTCTTATACATACTAATATAAGGATTATTATTAGGACCGGAGGAGAGGAGTACTACTTTGTTTTGTTCCTTTTTTTTTTTTGGGTTTCAACAGAAGAAAGCCAGAGGATGGTGATTAATCTACCTGCTCCAGCGTCGTTTTTGTGGTTTTCGAACTCGTCCTTTCAGCTTCCTCGTCTGTTTTATTTCAGAAGTAATAATACAGTAACACTGTGATAAAACCACACACAAAAAAAAAACAGAAGAATGACGACAATACTAGGAAAAAGTGGAGTGGTGGTGCTTAGGCCCTGTTTGGATTCTTGTTTTAAGACAATTTTGCTCTTAAAACCAAAAAAAGAAAAAACGAACCCTTGTTTGGTAACTTATTTTCAATGGTTGTTGAAAAAAAAATGTTTTTAAAAAGAAAAAAAAATGAGGTTAAGTTTTTCTCATATGTGTTATGTCAAATTCTTTAATCATACATAGACATATGTCTTTTTTTATTTCATGTAAATTTATAATTAAATACTAATATTTTAAAAATACAACACATAGTCATCGTAATTAGAAAACTTGACACGGATAAATATAAGGAACTTAATATAAATATGTTTTTAAAAATTGAAAAAAACCTTCTTTCTTCTCACCATTGCCCCTCACGTATTATTCCTGGTGACAGCCACTGCAAATTTTTTTAAAAATAATTATCCAAACATATTTTTTAATTTTCCATTCTCAAGACTCATTTTTAAAAAAATTTATAAAATTGTTTTCAGAACCAAAAAAAACCCAATATTTTTTTTTAAAAAATTATTGGTGATGTTTTTCAAACGCTATCTACTATGTTTAGACCTTAGATAGCGCCTTGAATTTATGGACCTGAAAAACAATGGTGGCAAAATTAGTTCCACAAGAAGAAGCTCAAGTTTGTGGTCGAGGATGAAATTGCATGTCAACCTTGTTTTATTTATTTCATTGTCATTCTTTTTTAGTGAACCTCAATATTAAAATTAGATAATTAATTTGCAGATATTAATGAAATTATTTATTTATGATAAATATGGATGTGCATTGAAATTACGATTAATGGAAAACTTTCTTATTCTGTTCAATTAATATGAATACCTTGAAAAAAAATTATAAATTTATGAGACAAAATAAATTTAAATCCTATATCTAAAATCAAATTTAATTCATTATCTCGTTTTTTATATTTAGAAATTCAACCCCTTTACATCAAGCCAGGGCATCCTTTTGTACACGTTGCAATTGATTGGGCTGGTCCATAGGATTTCTTAAATAGTGCCCAGTGTTATCGGTTTTCTGGACGTAAATGTACGAGTTGTGTGGCTTTTTCTTTTGGTTTTTTTGTTGTTGTGGGCTTCTTATTTTACTCTATTTCCTTGGTGGGCTCCTTCTGATGCCATTCTGGTTGTTAGCCATCCTTTAGGCAATTACAAAATAAGTTACCAACAAGATTTAGTCTAATTAGTAAAGAGTCGGTTCATAACCCACAAAGTTGTGAGTTCAAATCCTTCTGCTGATATGAAGATCTTGTTGGTGGGTAATTTATAAGTATCTCTATAAGAGCTTTCTAAGTCTAGAGGCATGCCTTGGTTCTGGTGAGCCTCAGAATCTAACTCACATAAACTTTTTTGTAAAAAAAAAAATTACAAAATAAGTTTTCTGCAGTGCTGGCCCATTTTTTGTAATTTTTTTCCCTCCCATGTATGTGTTGATGGGCCGCTTACAGCTCAGTTTTACATTTGACCAGTTAACCATGAAAGTGATTCCTACAGGATATCCCAAATTGTTGTGAGGTATTTTGATTCGGGGCAGGGTCAAGTAACCCAGTAAACTGTGACGTTTTTGTACTGAGTTAGGTAACTACCTTTTGTAACCCTCAAGCTCCGGCTGCCTTTTAATCTTAAGGGGAAAAAAAAAACTATGAAACTGATTACCAACAAGAATTAATGAAATTGATAAAGAGTCAGCTCATAACTCATTGAAGTCATAAGATTGAATTTTACTATCAATGTGAAGAGCTTATTGATGGGTGATCTATGAGTACTTCTATAAGCACTTTCTGAGTTTGGAAACATGTCTTGACTCTAGTAAATTCCCGGGACTTAACTCACCTAAATTTTGTTGTATCAAAAATAAAACTATGAAGGTGATTGCTAATAAGAGTTGATTAAGTTGGCAATAAGTCAACTAATAACCTACAAGGTCATGAGTTCAAATCCTACTTCTAATATGAAGATCTTATTTGTGGATGATCAAAAGATGAATCAAGTTTAAATTCCTGTTAAGAAATATGCTCACATTTATTACACATTATATTGGACTAGTTTTAGGGGGTGTTTGAATTTTGAAAGTGATTTTATAGAGTTCCCCGGTGAGAGAAATTTTCTTGTCAACTTACATGAAAATATATTATTTTAAGTGCTTGTGAGATTCCCAAACTGCCCCTTACTTTACAAAAGTGAGCTGGGAAAGTGATTTTTTTTTTTTTTTTTTGGTAATTTGACAGAAGTTGGAAAACAGGAAAAGTGAGTTCGGACGGAGTTATTTGGCACGAGTCAATCATAATCCAAACAGGCAAAGTTTCACCGTCGACACTTGCGTTTGAGCCCTACTCCTTTGTCTACTCCTCTTCCTTCAATACGGCCGTCGCACCTCTTCACGGAGCCTCCACTCTCCGTCAGCCTTTTGGTCTCTTCCTCTCCAGTCTCCACTGAAGTTTCTCTCGGTGTGTTCAATAGAAATATTTCTCCAGGTAATATCGATCCCATCCTCCTTCTTTTTAATTCACTTCCAAATCCAGGTTTCAGAAAGATTTCGTTTTCATTTTCATGCTCTCTGTTGTTCACCAAATTGTTCCGCTATCACTTTCAGTACCCATGGAGAATTACTGTGCTTTCGTTTGTTGTTGCTGCAATCTAAAATTTCTCAATACACTCTTGCTTGTTTGTGTCGTCCTGCGTGTATGCTTTATTTGAACTTGGAGCTTTTGTAATTGAGTTATTAGGAGATTAATAATTTTCATTTATTTCTATGACTTTTTGGTTTTACAACTGGAGTCAACATGTATTCCTTCTCTTTTAGCGCACAGCCCCATTTGGCAACTCCCTCTTTTCTGGAATGGGTGTTGTGATCTGCAAGCTATTATATATTCCGCTTGGTGGCTAAAATGAAGAACTTATATCTTGACATCTTTGTGTCTTGATTGAGTTTTCTATAATTGTTCACATATTTTTTCAGTTTTCTGTGTTTCTTTTATGTTTGTGTCTTCTCTCTCTCTCTTTCAGATTAAAAACTCCATCTTTTTAGTTCGCGCAAAAAGATAAAATTATCTTCTCTCAAGGGTCTTGTTTCCTTCATGATTATTGGTGTGGTAATGCCAGAACCGATTTCTGAGTGCTTCCTTGATGAATCAGGAACAGGGTAATTAGTGGGGTCATTGGCTTTGGAACTTGCGTTTCTTTTCTTTTGTTTTTCTCCTGGTTTTCAAGGATTTTCAGTTCTTTATTGTTGTAGTGGCAACTGTTTCATGGGCTTTCGTTATTATGTTCGGATTTTGGGGTAAATAGTTTTAGATTGGTGTAACAAAGTTGAAATTGATACAATGACTGAGTTTTAGCTTTTGGGTTTGCTTGCTCTTTCACTCTTCTACTTTTTTTCAGATAAGTTCTAATAAAAAATGGCACTGGTCTCTTTTCTTTATTCACAAAAGCCCTATTCCCATGAATACGCGAGTTCCAATTGCAACTCCCTATTAGTGTCTTTGCACATATGTTGCTTTAGCTTGTTTGAGCTTAAATCTAAACTTGCAGAACCATGAGGCCGATTTTGATGAAAGGCCACGAGAGGCCGCTGACGTTTCTCAAGTACAACAGAGATGGAGATCTTCTTTTCTCTTGTGCTAAGGATCACAATCCCACCGTCTGGTTTGCTGACAATGGTGAACGCTTGGGCACTTATCGTGGACACAATGGCGCTGTTTGGTGCTGTGATGTCTCAAGTAAGTTCCTTTATTTACCGCTTTTTCTCTGATATTTTTGGGTTGCTATTGACAAAATCTTTATATAGTTAATAGTGGATTTTATTAACAATATCTGTCACTATGCAGGAGATTCAATGTGTCTTATAACTGGAAGTGCGGATCAGACAGCAAAGTTATGGAGTGTTCAAACTGGACAGCAGTTGTTCACATTCAATTTTGATTCTCCTGCTAGGTCTGTGGATTTTGCTGTGGGCGACAAACTTGCTGTTATTACAACTGATCCCTTCATGGAATTGTCTTCTGCAATTCATGTCAAACGCATCGCTAGAGACGCCAGTGACCGTAAGCTCAATCTTTATGTTCCTTGGTTTTGTGGTTTGACTTCTTTTCATTGTTGTTTCCACGTATCTATAGTTTAGGGGTGAATTTATTGTCTGACAAAAGCCTTACTTTTGAGGGTTTACCTATCAGGGGCCAAATCTCCCAGTATGGTTCTTTCAATTATATGTAAAGAAGCAAATGATTTTATTCAGGTTGCTGGACACGTATGGTTGATATTTGTGTGGAAGATTCCGTCCCTGTTTGAGCATGATGTTTTAGTATCGGTATTTTTTAATGCAGTCATGATGTTTCCTTCTTAGGCTATTATTATAGGTAAACGAATTCTTCAAATGGCAGCCTATCCAGAGCAATTGCCTGAAGACTATTCGTGGCTATTTTAAGTATTGAGAGGTCGATTTTATTGTGCTTCTTGCCCTGCTCTTCTGTTGCATCTGGCAAACATTTGAAAATATGCTCTTCTTAGTCTGGTGCTTCCATTATGCACATTCAATGTATTGTGAACTTTGTATTACAGCTAAATATCACAGTACCGCTAAAAATAATTCATGCCCTACTTTCCAGAGACTGGCGAGTCTATACTGATCATTAAAGGCCCTCAGGGAAGAATAAATAGAGCCATTTGGGGGCCACTAAACAAAACCATTATTAGTGCTGGAGAAGATGCAGTGATCCGCATATGGGATTCTGAGGTTAGTGACCTTGATATTTATATGGTCATATGGTGATATTGCTATCTTGAAATCAGAGATAGTATTGTCAACACCAGATTGAATACTGTAGAAGCTTGTAGTTTGATGTTATTTTCCTTCTCTGTTCTATGAGAATACCTGCCCACAAAGTTCTTGCAGTGTTTCCGTTCATCCACTCTGATTCTTTCATGATTTGGCAGACAGGAAAGCTACTTAAGGAGGTAGACAAGGAATCTGGCCACAAAAAGACAATAACATCTCTTGCAAAATCCGCAGATGGCTCACATTTCCTGACTGGCTCCCTTGATAAATCGGCTAAGGTATTAAAATATCCATTCCTTATGTGTTTCTGTTAGTGGTAATTTTTTAATTGATTTTTATGAAGAACTTGGGATAATATCTGTTAAATTAATTGTTCTTTTCTCCTCTGTTGGCAATGTCATAGCTTTGGGATGCCAGATCGTTGTCTCTTATCAAGACATATGTAACAGAACGCCCAGTCAATGCAGTGGCCATGTCGCCTCTTCTTGACCAGGTATGTATGTTTGTTATTTTAAATTTTGTACTCTTCTGGTCCTTAATAAAAGACCTATTTTGTAATGCAGTTTGCACTATAAAGTGGGTTTTATATTAAGAATAGGAGGAATACTTTTTGTGATACTTTCATGTTTTGTGTAATTTTGTTTCTGGTATCTCTCACTGAAGGAGTAAAGTTTGGGTTCAATACTATGGCATTGAGATGGTGATGGATATAATTTTTTTTTTTTTTTTATCTCTATGTCACAAGCTTATACTCCGGAGATTTCCATTTTCTTGTATTACATTGCTGTTTTTCGCCCACTAAAAAAGTATATGGACTTCTAAATGACCTGACAATCTTAGGTGAAAATGATCCAGCTACTTTACTTTCCCTATTCAATGTTTTTATATGAATGATGCATTTGTTCAGTTTGTCTATGGTTTTCTTAAGCTCATGCATTGTGTTTTCCAGGTGGTGCTTGGAGGTGGTCAAGATGCATCAGCTGTTACTACTACTGATCATCGTGCTGGAAAATTTGAAGCCAAGTTTTTTGATAAGGTTGATTTATCTGTCCCTTTTGTCCTGCTTAGATTTCTCTCTATGGTGTGCCGTTCTGCTTTTGTATCTCATATTTCTTGTCCTCAATTTAGATTCTCCAAGAAGAAATTGGGGGTGTGAAGGGACATTTTGGACCAATTAATGCACTTGCCTTTAATCCTGATGGCAAGAGGTACGCCCCCTGCTTTCTCAACCCTTTGGTTTCATCATAATCATTTTTGTTGTGAAGTCTCTCTATTAAGTGGGTTTTCAATGGCTGAGAGTACTAACCTTTTGCTGCATGATTTCAGTGGAGCAAATAGGATACTATTTGCTCTCCATTTAATTTATTGGTTTACTAGTCTCCTTTCCTTTCTCACCCTGTTTTAGAGTATACAAGTACTCGAGTTTTAGAATATTTTTGAGTTACTGTTGAACTGTATCTTTTAATGTGTGCTGAGTTCAAGATCATTCTCTCATTGCAGCTTCTCAAGTGGAGGTGAAGATGGTTATGTAAGGTTGCATCACTTTGACCCAGATTACTTCAATATTAAAATTTAGGCCTGGAGAGTGTTTTTTTTTTTTTTTTTATGAGGGAAGGGATCAGTCTTTTTTTTTTTTTTTTAAAGCAAGGGATCAGAGAGGAATTTAACTTGTAATTTGTGGCACTTTATATTTTTGTAAGCTCCAACGTGATTATTAAAGCTTACTATATTAACGTCGCTTTGAGGCAATTTGTGAGTTTTATGGATTAGGTGATTTATTTACGATTGTTGTTAATTCCATCATCAATTTTGAAGTCTTTTGAGGGTTTTGCCCTACTTAGAATAGAATGAAAGAGGAAAAAATGGTGATTATTGTTGATTGATGATAATTATAAAAAATAATAGTGATTGGAACCAAAAAAAATTATTATTTGCGACTAATAATATTAGACTAGATGATGAAAATAATACTTTATAAAATTAAAAGATAAAACTTAAAGGTGTTTGCACTTTTGCCAATTACAATTTCTTTTATCCTTCTTACTTGTCTGGAGGAGGATTTCAAATGTTTCAAACATCTAATTTCAGTATGAGTTACAAATTTATGATTGAATCAATTAGACATTTCTTCCATTCACCATCATTTCCTCTCCATTACCATTCACTCTCGCATTCGCCTCATCTTTTCTGATCGCAACCTGCTACATTCACTTCTCATTTTTTCCAAATTCGATTTCATCCTCTATTTGCCTTCACTCTCCCGCCCAAATCCATCTCAATCTCTACCCACCTGATTCTCTTCACTCATTCACCCAAGCTCCCGTTCAACATATATTCGAAAGCATCAATGGGATTGGGTTTAAGCCAGTTTTCTGTAATGCCGCGAATTAAAGTTCGAGTCCTACTGTGAGAGTGTTCACATTTAGCGCTCAACAGTACCTTGAATAGGATTGTCTCTGTTAAGAGGATACCAATGCTTAGCAAAAAAAAAGAAAAAAAAACATGTTTCCGAAGGCATAATAGCATCTGATGGAGCTGTACCAATTGCGATGAGCGGCTATAGTGTCTCCGACTCTTGGATGGGACATCGATGTACCTGACCTTCTGGCTCTTCAAGGAAATAGCTAGTCTTTCAGTCTTTTATTCTTTTCTTTATATTTACATTTGCTGTTTCTGGATTAACAAGACCCGCATCTTGTGGATTGAGGGAAGTTGTATTTGATTTAATACATTAGTAGTTTCAAATAACTTGTTGATTTGATTCTGTTGGTGAGCATGATTCTGGAATTCCCATTCCATGATGTTTGAGTTTTACTCTCTCCTTAATGAAGCTTGGAATAGACTGATGTCATGATTATGCATAATTTGTTCCTTGATTAAGCAAGCATGTGATAAGGCTTGTATTGATCAGTTTGTGTCCTAAAGTGTAAGCTAAGTTTGCAAGCGGGATTAATTCACACATTAGGTTAACCTTAGGTGGTGGTTGGAGGCTTTGAACACTGACTAGGATTATAGAAGGTGTCTAGGACTTAATTACCACTAACTTGGCAGATTTGTTGAGTTCTACTCTAATTATTTAAGAGTCTGAGGGATCCCCCAGTCCACTCTAAGAGTTGATTCTCATGTTGACACATTCACTGGATCATTCCACCTAAAATTTGGAAGTCAATAAACAAAATACTACATTTGGTTCTTAGAATCTTAATATAAAGTTTAGCTAACTAATTTAGAGAGATTAAATTAATTTAAAATATTTATATTTATTATTTTTCTCTAAACTAATTTGACTGACTTATAAACTAATACATAATCTAATGATATATATAAATATTTCAAAAATATCATATAATATATACTACAATTAAGCAATTGATATAAATTTTTTAATTTTCTCAAATTAATCAATAATATTTTATATTAACCACAAGAGGCGACAGCATTAGTTGTCATTTTAGATAGGACAGCCCAGCTAGCTTCAAGTGAACTCCAAATTGTGGCAATATGCGTCTCTGTTCATGCTTCTCAACATGACTCCCAATGAGATGCCAAACAGAGCCTCTAATATCATGTAATGTGAATTTTACATCTCCTACTAATGAAGGTTAGATCTTGCGGAAGGGGCTAGTCCCTCACAATATGACGAACCAAGGTTCAAATCCCCGTTGGATAAAGTGCCGACAGTGCTTCAAATAGAATTACCTCCAATAGAAAGATACCTATAATTTAGCCAAAAAAAAAATTTACATATACAAACCGGTTCAATGTTTCTGCATTACCTGGAAAAGTCCACAGGCACATTCTAATGCAAGAGTATGATTTCAATTGAGTGGGATAGACGTTCATAAAAGTCTACAAGCGTTTCGACCATTCATTCAAATTCACAACTATATGATTAAAAATGCATACATCAGCATTGCTTATTTCAAGCTCAAGTTGGAGACCTGTTTCAAACACATGCTCATTTGATTAAAACCTATCCTGAATTAATAAGCTATCAATAATATAATTTATCTTAATTATTGCTGGAAAAATACAATTTTAGTGCACATTTGTATTGCTATTACTATCCACATTCCATACTGCAGTGTGCATGCATCCTAGGTTGCGCAAGACTCAACAACGTGGACAACAAGCATTACTAATAAAACGAAAGCTAATTCATCAAACGGAGATACTATCTTCTTAGTCTTGGCAAGTCCCTGCAGGCCTTTGCATCAATATTCCACTTAAGTAGTGGGCATTTCAATAAATAAAACTAATGTTACCACGCCATATGGTCACAAAATTCATTTGAAAGTAAAACCTCAAACATAAGATCAAAAAACACTTTTGAGCGTTCAACAAACATTCTCTCAGAAAGAGGCCTATGCGGCGACGGATTGCTTGGCACTAGAAAGCTTGGACCTCCTCTTAGCCAGACTCTCACTTCTGCGCTCCCTCTGCTCCTTCAACCTCGAGGCAAGAAGTTTCTGGTACTCAGCTGCTTCAGATTTGGCCTTGGCAATTCTCTTCTTCTTCTGCGCAATTCTTGCACGCTTCCTTTGGAGGGTCAAAGGTGTGACTAGTCTTTGTATCTTAGGAGCCTTGCTCACCTTTTTGCCTGCAATCAAACATGATGATCAGCAAAACCATATTCATCACCATTACGATCAATTATGAATCTGAATGATCTAAAACAGTTATCTATTTCCAAAGACTATTCTCATCGCCCAGTCGTCTTAACTAAATGAAATCTTCTGATCCGTAACGTAATTGTTTGACTTAAACGTTGCACCACAAAAGCCATGTGATCAAATTTCAGTCGCTAGGAGTGTTTCTTAACAGCAGAAGCTCATGTTCTATCAAGGAGCAACGTCAGACAATGAATACTCTGTTTATCCATTAACCTATCCAAAACAATAAAATTTCGCAACCCCAGCATGATTATCAACAGTAAATGCAACCTGCAAGGCTGCAACTATAAATTTGCGACAAGATCTGGAAGCAGAGTCACCATCAAGAATTTGAATTGAAAATTCGAGAGCAAGAGTCTAATGCTCAGAATATTATTCACCGTGAGTTTGACTTCACCACCTCTTAAATTGTCTCCATCTATAAAGATGGAAGTTAACTAATCTCTATAGACAATACCAGAATTAGAACTAGCTATGATACTGAAAGCAATGTGAGATACCATCCTCAAATACATTTGACCACCTATCCTCCTTTTATTTTATTGAAATTGACAAAAGTAAACAAAGAAGTAGGAGGCACCCAAGACTTTACCAGATTTTGTTGTAAAGGTACGACGATAGGTGTTGACATACTTCCTCACATCATCCTCCTTGGAGAGGTTAAACAGCTTGCGGATTTTGGATGCTCTCTTGGGACCTCTCATCCTTGGCTTCTCAATATCAGTGAGTCCAGGCAAATCATTTTCACCCTTCTTCACAATTACCAAGTTCAGAACAGAGAGATCTGGGCTCACAATGCACCCCCGCACAGACTTTCTCCTGCGTTCTCCATTGCGCCTTCCATATCCTCGGAAGCAAGGAGTTCCTGCTCATATCCCAATCCCAAAAAAAAAAAAAGAAATTAGCACAACAATAGTAAAATGAACAAAAGCTCTGAATGAGGAAACCAGCTCCACTGGGAACAATGGGTCCCAAAACAAAAAAGAAATTAAAGCAAAGCCAAAATGTAATAAAAAGATAATACAGTATGGCACTAAAAATTTCATTTTAATTCTGACAGCAATGGCAGGAAAATAAATGAAAACACTCAGAAAACTTTCAGGCCAATTAAATAAAATGTATACTAATGACAGCCAATACCTAAATCTACCGCACATTAATAGGAGTCTAGCACTGAAACAAATCTAACCTCTGTGGAGCAAGAGACGAACACGACCAGGGGTCAGCACTCCTTGCTTCATTGGAAACCCTTGTTTGTCACAACCACCAGTGATCTTGAAGACATAGCCTTTGAATTCCTGTAGACCGAGAGGTGTAAATAATCAAGTGGATATATATATACACAAGTTTTTACTTTCCTGCAAATTTGAATTTGAATTTGAAATTTGGGGGGGGGGGGGGGAAGATGGCCACAAGCATACCTCACCCAGAGCATCACCGCTAACCTCCTGTGAGATACGCTTGTCCCAAAAAGCTCGTCTGCATAAAATGATTTGTCAAATAGCTCAATCACATATCAACACCAAAAATATATATAATTCACAACAACTAAAGTGAATTAAACATTGGACCAAAACAAAATCCTTAACAAGAACTATCATGACACTTGTCACGCAAATCACAGGACATGTAATTAGAGTTCTCGATGATATTCATTTGTTCGGAAACCTAAAGGCCACTAAGAAAGACCAAACGGTATGGCCAATGATGCATCGTAGGAATAATATATAAAGCACCAGACTTAGATTACTTGTACTAAATATAAATTGTCAAGGAAATGTTGAATTGTTCAACTAACGAACCCAGTATTCCTGTACACGCGCAATGAAAACTTAGATGAAAATCGAAACATATATATTAGAGAAGCAAAAATCTTACAGCTTCTGATCGTCATCAATCTCCAGCTTCTTCTGGCATCCAGTGGTGGGATTTGCAATGTTGAACTGCAGAATCGCAGGAGATTCAGATACAAACACAAACAGAAAATAAAAGTACAAACAACCCAGGAGATCAAATCGTTGAAGATAAAGGTTTGGTATGAATGTGAACCTTCATGTTGCTCCCCTTGCTCCAGCCGCAACAAAGTCGCTGTAATAGTGTCGACTACTTCGACCGCGCGCCTGAGCTGCGAGAATTAAAAC